GTAAGGGATAAGGGTGATCCCTTCTTGCAGCAGGTTTGGAAGTGCCATTACTCTCTCCATCTCGAGAGTCCTGTGCTGCTGGAGTGAACTGTTTTTTCTTTGCCTGCTAGTGGACGGTGGTAACGCGAGGATGGGGGGTGCGCAGGGAGAGCCCTAGGACTGTGCTCCGCTGTGGGTCCCATACTTTCTAGCATCCTGTTCAATGTGGTCTACAGGTTGGGTTTGGGTTTTTTTTTTTCCTGTGTTAGCTTTTTGCCTCCTGACTTAAGGAGAGGGAAGAAGTGTCGTCTGCCTTTGTGCGCCTGGTTTAAAACTGCACTGTGGAATTGGCAGGATGGGGATGTTGTTCACACCAAAGAAATAATAGGGATTTGTAAGGGGGGACGACTGTGCGTAGGACATACAGAAAGAGGTCGGAAGCACCATGTTGCGCTGCGATAGCGGTTGGGGCTAACGAGACGAGCAGCAGTGATAGCCAGCCTTGCCATTGTGTTCCTGTGCTCAGTAGAGGCAAAGAAGGTTTTTAAACAGCCCTTTTGTCACTCCTCTGCTTTACCTCCCTCCTTTGCCCTGGCCTCACTATTCTTCTTGCAGCATTAACCCTGTGACGGGACGCGTCGAGGAGAAACTACCCAACCCCATGGAAGGGATGACTGAAGAGCAGAAGGAATATGAAGCCATGAAGTTAGTCAACATGTTTGACAAATTGTCCAGGTACTAGAAAATTGTGTGTGTTCATGTCTTGTGTTAGCACCTGCGTATCTGTGGCTTACATTTATCACAGACCTTTCTTTGAATATATTCCCAAGGCCACCACTAACTGAAGGGATGTAAGAGAGCGGGGGAGGTACATGGGGAAATATTTCCTTAAGCTGGGCTCTGTTATGTGCAGGGGAAGGCACTGCAAGCCCCACGCACCTCTGGCATGATGGCGTACTGCGAAATTCCTCTGCATGCCTGTACTGTGTTTCCAAGCACCTGCTGCCTCACCAGGTTTGGCCGGGTGCTCAGTAGGAGCAGCAGCAGCCGCTGTCCTGGCAAGGCTGCTCAGTAGGAAGCAGCGTTTTGGGGACAGATGGCAGCCAGTGCCACCAAGGCCCTTTCCCTGCAGGAGTGCTTTCTCCAGTCATCTTTCATCCGTCACTAATAGGTGCCACAGAGAAGAACCCGGAGTCTGCCAACTGAGTTCAGACCACCCCCAAGGGTGGGAGGGAAAAGGGCAGCACGTTTACTGCATGTATTTCCACTGTGTGTTAGAGGGAGAGGAACCCTGATGCCAGCACTGGTTTTCCTCTGGCAGTCCTGTACCACGCAGAACAGGACCCTAAAAGTGAGCCTGTTCCAGGGAACCTAAGAATGGCAACACTTGTGGATTGTGCTTCCAGCCATTGCCTCAGCATGCTGGAGGTTTTATGGCTAGAACTATCCCCCACTTCTAAAAGGGATTCTTGGCGGTGGCCTGGGGTTGTTCTGGGCTGCCTCGGGGCAGTTTCCGCAAGCCCCACGTTTCTGCTGTAGTACTCGTCTGTTCCTGCAGTGTCTGCTGCAAATTTGTGTTGCTTTCCCCCCATCTCCTCCCTGGTTGCAGAGAGCAAGTCATCCAGCCCATGGGCATCACGCCGAGCGGCAACCTGGCCCCCATGGAGAATGCCATCCATGATATAGCTGACGAGAGGTCGTCGTCCGACTCGGACCTGGGGCTGGACTGATCCAGACCGTGTGCCCCAGCCTCGGAGAGCTGGGGAGCCTCCCTCCGCTCTCCCTCCAGAACTGGTGCTGCACCCAGAGGCTAGTACTGGGCCAGGACTCTGCCTGTAGGATCTGGATCCAGCCCGGACCCCTCAGTCCACAACAAGGAACACCACCTGCCTCCTTCCCAGCTCCATAACCACCTCTCCTTCCAGAGGGTCTTCATGGCCTGGCTCCACCTTGGTCTCTCCTGTCAGCAGCCTTGAGGATTTCAGACTCTAAATTGCTTCCAGGACTTTCCAGTGGGATTTTTTTTTTTTTAAATGCGATGTTTGGGAAGAAGGGTTGGGGGGAGGATCTTTCTGTCACACCATCAGGGTTCAATAATCTGCGGAGCATCTTGTATACTTGCTGACGCTTGTGCGGCCGCACATCAGCACGCGTGTCGCTGTGCGTGGCTACGTGTGGCCGGCCCTACGTGGGGGGAGCCGCTTCCCAGGAACGCGGGTGGGAAGGTGGGACTGCAGGAGAGGGGTGCGAGTGGTTATTCGTGGCAGTTCTCGGGGATCGGTGCCTGCGGGGTGTCTCGGCGTAGTGCATCCATTTCATCAGCAGGTAGCTGTACATGTGTGCGTTACGTATGGCTGTGAGCGTGACGGTGTCTGTGCAAAACCAGGAGTGTGTGGACTTAGGAGTGTGTGCGTGAGTGCAGAGGGGAGCAGCGGTGTGTGAAGCTTCCAGCGTTCCCATCGGCCGCAGGAGAGAAATGCGCAGGTGACTGCCAGGAACACTCTGATACTCGGTCTCTGGCACTGTGCAATGTTCCTGTTACCAGAGAGTTTAGTTTTTGGCATTAGCCTTTCCCCATCTTCACGCTTTCCAAATGAAAGGTCAAAATCTGTGCTTTGTCTGCTGCCTCCTCGTCTGCCTTGGCTTTCCCGCGGGTCCACTGCTGTTTGCACCCAGGGGCTGGGGTTGGTCCTGTCCTTCGCTGTGGCTTAGATTTGTCTTTTGGTTTTTTTTGTTTAAAAAAAAAAAATGTTTTAAAGAAAATCTTCCAGTTTGTCTCATGTACCAGAGTTCCAAAACTTCTATCACAAGTAGGAATGCAAAAGTGATGCTAGAATAAAGAAAACCTGACAAATGGGCGCGTGGCAGTGATTCATCGAACGTGATGGCTCTGAGCAAGTAAGGCAACATCTTTGGCTTTTTCTGACTAGCACGTGGTTCTACTCCGATCACCCTGAACTTTACAGTTTTATTTGGGGGGTAAAATTGCAGCATTAAACTGGGGCTGAGCCAGAACCTTTCCCTGCACCATGACCACCAAGTACAACTGAACGGAGCGTCCCAAAGTTAAAGTAAGCACTGAAGCTTGAGGACTGCAAAACAATCTTAGCGCAACCCCCTCGGGCCTCACGACGCGCAGTTGTTTACAGGACTGCTCATCTTTACAAATGCTCCGTAACGGTTGAAAATTGCGCACGCCAGCTCCGTCTTCTGCCTGTGCAATAGGGATTTGCTGCTCAGCCTTTGCAGGACGCGAGCCAGCCTCCGTGGTCGTTTGGCTGCGTGGGTCTGCTGAGGTTTCTGACTCCCCGCAAGGCAGCGAGTGCAGCGAGGCTGGGGCTCCGGTGGGGAGGCAGGACAGGCTGGCCAGGCTTCGCAGCGGGGCACCATGTCGGACACCCGGGAAGTCTGGGTCCGGGGAGGCCGCAGATGCACAGCGGGGGCGAGCAGAGGGTTTGCAAGTGTTCCTGCCTGTGTATTTTTAGGAGTTGGTGCTTGTTTTCTGAAGACGGTCTCTATGATGTGAAAAGCTGAAGGTGTGCTTCATCTAGTTTAGTTCTTCAGTGATTAAGATTTTTTTTTTAGTAGCTGTGATTAAAGTTCCAGGCTCTCCCAGGGATATATGATATTTATGTAAAACTGACCCACTAAGGTTCGCAGGTAGGCTTCTGTCATGAGAATAGCTTCAGTGTATCGTAGCTGGAGTTTTTAGGCCAACTGCATCTCTCTCCTCTTTTTTTTTTTTTAGCTAACTAACAAAAAAGCCCACCACAGACCTTCTGTGTGGACATGCAGACCTCTGATCTCTTCCCAGCTGTTAAAGCTCTCCGAAGCTTTCCAGGCAGAAGGAAGAATGGGGGGTGTATTTTTAATGCAGTGCTTCTGATACTGTTGTATTCTAATTTTCTATCGTGCTTAAAACCCCGGCTTGCAACTGACAGGCCCTGCTTTGAAAAGCCCCGGTGCAGGGGCGGAACTTGGCACAGGGCGCTTCTGGAGCGAGGGTTTATAAACAGGGTACGGTTTAAAAGCAACACATCACCACAATTTTCGGTGTGAAGCAATGTGCCGCGAGGCTTCTGGTGCTCTGCCAAGCGAGAGAACAATCCTTCCGCTTTTCCTGCGGCTGCGCTTTCCGATACATCTGCTGGGCCGGTCCCGGCTGGGGGGAGGAACGCGCAGATGTATTTGAATTGTGCATTTGGATAAGCAAGTCCGCTCGTCTGAGTGGAACTTGTTCAAAGCCTCCTTCAAGGAAGCAGCTAGGGCACCAAGCGCGGAACCCTCTGTTCCTGTAGCGTTAGCAGCAGACGTGCCAGGCTTCTGTGGGGTCCCTTGAGCTAGTCTGACTTACAGCAGATGAGTGTTAGGTCCAAACACTTCTAATTACATAAACAGACAGCCATAAGACAGCGTTCTGAGGCTCTAGCTTTGCCCTGGGAAGAGCTTTTCAGCAGAGAGGTCAGTAACAGTGTTCCAGCGTTGTGTGGGTAAGACACAGCTGTGTGCTCAAATGCTTTTATTCCCTTCGCTTGGGTTTTCGCGGTTTAGCATTAACCGTAACGACCTGGTGGCACAAAATGCTTTGCATTTTGTTGTGCTTGTTTAGAGCTGGTACTGACTGGGATTGCCTCTAGAGCAGTTGCTGTGATAAACAGATGGGTCAGCCAGGGCCACCTGGGGGTGACTGCAGTCCCCACAGCCAAATTTGGGTGCTGGGGGGATGAAATGCATGCCCTGTTGCAGGGAAGAGGTTCTGCTACACCTGTGATACGCAAAGTACGTCTGCCAGGGCACATCTGGGAAGGAGCAGGACATCACTGCAGTGCTCTGACTGATACTGCCTCTCCCTGCGACAGCGTTTGCAGGGAGGAAAGGCACTTGTGTAAGCCTGAAAAGAAGAAGAAAAAAACAAATAAAGCAGGTGAAAAGAGTGGTGGTGGTGGGGACAGAATGTGTTCAAACACTAGGGAAGGTGTGAAGTTTACAGAAAAACCCTCAGGTGACATCAGTAAAATTAGAACTCTTTTTATTATTAAATAATTAACACTAGACTGGTTCAAAGCTCTTCCAGCAGCTTGAGCTGGTGTTCCTGAATAGGAATGGGGGCAGGCCCCCCATGACAGCATTTGTCCCCTGATTAACAGAGATTTCCTCTGAAGAATAAACACTACAAGTCTGCAGCAGCTGAAAGATCGTGACTAAGAGAAGAGTATCTGAGGAGGAGCTGTGAAAGGAGTTGGTAGATGCTCAGTCCGGTGGGGGGAGCTGGAAAACTCACTCCAGACGAAGTGATTCTGTCCTGCCTTAAGGCCTGACCTTCATGGCGTTTTCAACTCCTGATCCTTGAAAACCAGGCCCTCTGAGGGTCTCCGAGGTTGGATGGCTCAGAAAGAGGGAGACCCAAACAGCAAGCTGCATATGCACAGCTCGTCTGACACGCTGGCACAAGCCCACGAGCTCCCGGCCGCCTACTGGTGAAGCTCTCATGGCTGGACGTCGTCAAATGGTGTGCTGATGGGGTGACAGCCGGAGCCGTGGAAGAGGAAAGTCTCTCCTAGTGCGTCCTGAAACGAGGTAAGACAAGGAGGGAGCAGTGCTCAGTGGCTACATCAACTGTTCTGAAGTCTCAGGTAGGAAAGCCTTCACGTGCAGAACCAGTTCGCAGCTTGGCATTTGGGCTTCACTCCCTTCAGCCTCCCTTCCTTCGCCGGTGAAGGCCTCTCTGCTCTGCTTCCAGGCTGGCTGGATTGAGCCGCGAGCATCCCCTCCTCCCCAGCGTGCCAGTCCTCTGTGGATTTGCTGCTGCAGAGCCGGACGGCCTCTTCCACGGCTCCCTGCCACGAAGTCTTCCTCTGCCCATGCTGGGCACGACAACGTCTCCTTTTCAAGGTGAACATCGCTCTCCAGCAGCAGGGAGCCAGCTGTCCTATTTGTCTTTTGCGTCTAGCTAAAAATAGAAAGACCACAGAGTGCTTGCTAGGGTGTTTCAAACCTTCCAGCCCCTGTTAGCTCAGCCAGCAATGCTTCCGAGCACCGAAATCCCAGAGCAAGGAGGAGGGGTTTTTTCGTGCTTCACCACACTTGCATCAGCTTTACGCATCAGTGATCTAGAGCAGCACAAGCATTAAACCAAGGGCTGCTTGATCTCATACAAATGCAAAATGGCTTGTAGTGAAAGATCAAAAACCTGACCCAAGGACTAATAATTCCTATTCGTTCCTACCCCATAAGCTGATGAAAGTAAGAACAACCTGAATGTTAAAATTGGAATCCTGAAGCCAGATTTTCTCTTGGGTCAGAAGAAATCGTGTATGGACAGTGTATCTGTTAAAAATACAACTGGCTTCTTACTACGGCGAGTTGGCAGAGCCCTGCTGCAGACAAAGGAGCTGCGCCCATTTACACAAGCGGAAGAGTTGGCCCAGCCCACAAGTTACAACTTCTGCTTCAATTAAAAAAAAAAAGTTTAAAAAGTGATGCCAAATGTGGGGAAAATCTTCCCAGCAGGTCTAAAGTAATGTAATACTTAACATTAGCACTAAACTCAAAGTAATTAAGAACTTGCTCTCCTACAATTTCTCACTTCTGAAGATCTCAAAAGATTACAGACGTAAGAATGGCACAGGGAAATAAATGATCAGCGGGGGAAAAGAGTCAAGTCTTTAGTGATTCAGTGCTGTCAGGTGGAGCAAGCACCCTCACTCCTGCCTGCCGCTTGCTGCTCGTCGCGTGCCTGGCCGCTGCAGCACCTCGTTCGGTCTTGGACATAGCGCAATTGGAACCTCCCTTTCGTTACGACTATTACTTATTTCTCACAATGACTAGAAAAAACACTAGAAATGAAACCAGAGCAATTAAGTGACCGTACAGGAAGAGGAAAGCTCCACTAAGGTGATGCTTGGCTGGGCTCCTCGCTTTAGTTCAGCAACTACTCGTGTTAATGTGCCATTAACAGCATCGCAGGCTCAGGCTCTCAGCCAGGGAACAAGCAGCGTAAAAACCAACGCCTGAGCAGCAGCTTCAGCACCCGGGAGCGTGCCCCACCGCGTGTCTGCACGCTCAGTGGAGTCTTCCAGTCTCCTCACACACCTCTGAGGGAAGCATTGCCAGAAGAAGAAAATGCCCATGTTTTGTGTTGCTTAAGTGCAAAGATGAGTCGTCTGCTGGCTTACAAAGATCATACTGGATTGATATGATACAGGTGACAGAGGGGATTTTCTGGTTGGTCACTTCCAGCTCCAGGAAACTGTACCTTCATCTATAGGGCTTTTTTGTTGTGTTTGGGAACAAATAAAAAAAAAATAGATGAAATCAACAGAAAGCTTTTCAGTAACTGAGTGGGTCACTGCCTGAAGAAGCGCTAAAGCATTCTCATTCAACCCAAAGCCTGGCCTTTTCCGTGTTCTTCCTACTTCATCTGAGGTTGGCGGATCTGCATCCTCCCCTTCCGTACCACTGAAACATTCAGCAACACGGCACGCTCCCTGCTCTGTGGCACCTTCACTCTGAAATAGCACTGAGGTTTGCTTTTTTCCTTTTTTAACCTTTTTGCACTTTCCTGTGGTCCTTTTCTCTGAATGCAGACTGCAAGCACGGCGATGTCTGCTGTGCAAGTCTAACCCCAGCAAGCACAAACCTGCTCCCCCCGGAATAACTCCAGCACAAGGAACAAAGAGGCTGAGGGAGGGAGACGGGGCTCTGAGCCCCTTCCCACCTTTGCTTTTTCCTTCTGCATTAGTGTTTGCATCTCTTCATTCCAGTCCAGCAGCTCCACCAGCTTCTCAACCCCACCGATCACGTCCCCCAGCTGGGCTATGTCATTGTAGCGTTGCTGCCAGGCGAAGGGTCCTACGAGATCTCGGTTGATCAGGACTCGGGGAACGGAGCTGCGAACAGCTCCTGCCAGGCTGGCAAAGGGCTCCACCTGAAGGAAGGCAACCCGAAGGAGCAGAGAGAGACGGTCACCCCCCTGAGGGGCACTTGCGGGCACGAATTCACTGCACACTAAGCTTGTAACCGCTGTGTTTAACAGCTCTCCCACCGTGGGCTAAGCTACCCCAGCTTTGAACAGGTTACGGATGTCACCAGTTATCCAGTGGCCTTTCCTCAGGTAGCTGCAAAACTCATCTCTTGCTCTCCAGGTGCCCACCTTTACCAGGAGCCCACAAGGTTTTCAGAGAGTCTCTCAGGGTGCATGCATCCTGTTTCTTACCCTGCCACCTCAAATTTTACCTCGATAACCCAGTTTCTCGCCTTCTCCTCTAAACCCTCTCTCCTCCAGAGTCCCCTCGGGCCCTGTTTTCCATGTGCCTTTTTCTCCTTGTGAGCGGGGGTTTCCCTCAGTCCCAGACCTCCAGGGACGTTCCAATGACGAAAAGCAGGTCTGCCGTGGGGAAGTCTGTCACGTGGAGGAAGAAGCGCTGCGGTAGCTCCTCGCCGAAGAACACAATGTCAGGCTTGACGACTCCGGTGCAGACAGGACAGTGAGGGACCTTGTCTGCCATGACGTCCCCCTGAAGCAAGAGCACCCAACACCACTCGTTACGGGGCAGCGCATACCTGCACAGCGGGGTCAGAACCACAACACATCCTCGCGGCAACATCCAGCCCACGTCTGGTCCCCTCCAATAAAACCTCTTGGCCCTGAGGGCAAAACAACAGGCCTGCAACAGGTTCTCCTCCTTGCATTCATTTATGTGTCGATGCCCAGCTGCGGCCACTCACCCTGAAGTCCTCTCCTGGGAACTTCCTTCGACAGACCGTACAAGTGGCGGTGGCAAAGGTGCCGTGGGCTTCCACCAGTCTATTGGGAGGGATCCCAGCAACTGGAACACAGCGCGTGGGAAAGGACCAGCTCAGCGTGAGGTGACTGAACCAGAAACTCCACATTCACCGGGCATTTCCCCAGTCCCGCCTCCTATTCTGCTTCTCACCGTCATCTCTTCCCAGCGCTCTGCTGCTGAGAGATGGGGAAAAGAAAACTCACCTCTCTCCAGCCCGTCGATATTCTGGGTATAGAGGCGCAGGAGGAGCCCTTTGTCGTGCAGGAGTCTCAGGAAATAGTGGGCGTAGTTGGGTCTGTAGTTGCCGGGGTAGAGCTCCTTGGCCAAAGTGAAAAAGGGCTTAGGGTTGACAAAGAAATACATCAGTTCAAAGATGGCTTCTGGGTAAGGGATGTTGTACTGCTCAAGGTTACTGTAGAGGCCACTCCCCGGGGACCTGCAAAGAGAGGAGAGCGGGGCTGGTAGTCAGAATGCAGGAAGAGTTGCCACCCGCCACAGAGCCAGACCAAGACGTGACAGAGCAGCCAGCCAGGGCCTTGGGTTCTCTCTGGCTGCTTTGTGCTGTCCATCGTGTGTCAAGAGAGCAGCTGAAACTACCTCTGCACAGAAGGAGAACCTGCCTCACATCCCTGCTCTACTGCCACCCCACCTTCTCCCGGCTGCAGAGGTGTGCCTGCAGCTGGAGGAAGGGAAGGGCCACGCTGGTATGCTGAGGACCATGCTCTCTTCTAGCTGGAGCGTCTCAAGCCCGCGCCACGGCCACATTGGCCCTTCTCTGGTGGCCGAGGTGGTGCAGTGAGTGCAGCCACAGAATCAAGCAACGGGCGTGACTTAACCATCCTGAAGACCTGGGCCAAGGAATGGCCCAAAGTCCGACTGGTGATGCCAGCCTGCCTTTGGCTGGAGAAGGAGGATCAGCAGGCACGGAAACTCCTGTGCCTAGCCTAGCCTGGCACAGATAAACAAAATGGAGGGGTGAGAGGAGTAGCAGGCACCAGCATTATCTAAGCTGAAGATCTTGGCCCTCCCAGCACTGAAAAAGGACAAATGAAACAATGGAGGCATTACCTAAAATCTGGGATGCCGCTGGGGGTGCTAATCCCAGCGCCAGCCATCACCACCACTCGGCGACACTCCTTCTTCCGAATTAGCTCTGCCACATCCTGCAGGGTGAGCTTCTGCTTCCCACCATCATCTCCCCATCTGCCCATTCCTAAAATGGCTCTGGCAGCAGCAGACAAAGAGAAGGGCCTGGTCCCTCGGACCCTGCTCGGAACAGAGAGAAAGCACAGCAGGTAGCGTACTGACAGCGACTTCAGCTGAAAACTGCTCGGGGGGAGAAAACCACCCCAAGAATTTTGCAGGAAGCTCTTCAATCAGCAGGACTGTGCGCTAGTACTTAACAAGGAGAAAGCTTAACCATTAGTCTAATCCATACCCCAGGAGTAGATACCTTCCGTTGCCCTTTTTATGCAGATCTAAAAATACCAAATCACTGGTACCCCTGAGAGGGGTTTTTTTTTGGACAGGGGGTGGACACAGGGCTGTGGGAATGGTAGCACTGGGACTCACAAGTCTCATAGTTGATTTACACTGCCCTTGGGATAAGGAAGACTCTTTTCTATGTCCTGAGTTTCAAGAAGTTTCTAACAGGGTGATGCAGTGACCCTGGGACAACGCTGCCCAGGTTAGCACGGACGTTTTCATTTCTCTATTTCCCCCAAGGGCTCCGCCTCGAGAGAGCTCCACGTGTAAATGGTAAATGCCTAAAGGAATCACAGGTCAGCGCTACGTACAGATGGGGCAGAGATCATTCACTACCATCTGAAGGAACAGCTTCTCCCCAGACAATTAGTGCTTGCTGCTGCAGGACATAACGAGCAGTCCAGAGAAGGCGTGGGAGTGCGAAGAGCCAAGGGAGAGCTGTTGGATCTTGGCAATCCGCGAACAGCAATTACCGAGCTGTAAGTGTCGACTGTGGCCTCAGTGTGGTTGACGCTGTCTTCACAAGGACATGGCTCTGCCTTGTCAGACCAGGTTCCCGGGGAGCTAAATTCACAATCTGGCAAACGCTCATATTTCTCTGGTAAACCTCTCTACTCTTTGAGCTCCCGGGCCAGCTCTGGCTTACAGAGATGGGGACCCATCTGCCTATTTAGACAGGAGAGGTGATGTCCTCAATCCCACGCTTTCATTGTAACAGTACCAGTTCCTTCCCCTCGGCATCCCGGTGCGGAGGCCTGGCGGGCATCGGGCACCAGCACCGGCTGTGAGGCGACGGGCGCGCGA